AACACCGGCCAAGCCTCTCATCCGGGGCTTTCACTCTTCCTACACAATCAGAAAGGGGGAAAGCGCCGGTAGCCCTTTCCCCTTTTCTCTCTCGCCCTCTTTCAGTAAAACGGTCTATATAGTCACCGACCAGTCCTTACGAAATGTAGCCGTAACAGTAGTTTGACAGATGACTTGGGGTTATTGAGCGTGCATCACGAGAGTACACCGGTACGACGCTCACCGTATTAGGGGCTTTTAGCAAACAATTACCGTGTTCCGCGTATCGCACGATCGGAACCTTCGAATCATGCTTTTAAGCGCGCGCCCAAGTGCGCGCTTAAAAGCACGCTTCAAAGCCTCAGATAGTGCGGTGCGCGCAACACGGTAACGGTTTGCTAAAAGCTCCTACTGAAACAAGCAGAGACGGGGACACGCAGTACCGGTTACTGAACGATTGGACACGAGCGCTGCGCTCCACGCAGTGAATGTGACCGTAAAATGTTTGAAACTTGGTAGAATTACGGATTACGTGGCGCAAGATGTCCAACCAAACTTTTCTGCAAGGCCCATACGAATCCCGTGCTTCCTGTTGATCGAGCCGAGATGAACGCCATGTGTCAGGAACGCGGACTCAACCTAGAAACCTGCTTCCGCAGCACAAACGGATGCGCAAAATCATCATCTTTGAAGATTTGAAATCTGTGCCCATAGCCCTTATTGTGCTTAAAGCTAAGACACAACAGATGCTTTTTTACCTGTTCACAGCAAAAGTCGTGACGATTGAATCCTGGGCCAATAATATACATGTATATACCTGCCTAAAGTGATCTCTGATGTCCTTACATTTTCTGTCTTTCTAAAAGAAAGAAAACAGTATGTTGGCACCGTCCCATAGAAAGTAGTGATGCAGTTTACTGCACCGGTCTTCAGGAACGCTCGTCTAGAAAGTTCAGGAAGATTCTCAGTTCTAAACAAGTAGCCGCGATAACAGTCCCTTTTCTAAATGTCCATCAAACAAACATCAGCGGTCGCCATTTTTTTTTTTTTTTTTTTTTTACCCGAAGCGTGTGATTAGATTCCGAAGCCTCGCCGAACGCGGACGCGCAGCACTCGTTTTCGATACCAGCTGAGCCGAGTTCATACCGAACGATGACGCCACCCTCGTGTCCAATACATGCTCAGAGTACGCGCATTATCCGAACCCGCCCCAACAATGGTTCGGATAATTGGCGCAGCAGCTAGTAGATGGCGCGCACTTTCGAAAAAAAGATCTACCCTATTTCCGAGAACGGAATATTCTAAAAGAGCAATATGGTTAGTAAAATAAAGAACTGGGCCGGTGGGGTTTGGAACACTCTGCGTCCGCGTGTCTGCTGCGTGCTCTACTAACTCAACCCTCCGTGTAACTTAAATGTATAGGTCTTGACACTTTCATTCAATTTATTTTTAGTTGTTTGTTCCATCCTACCTTCACGACCTTGTTGCTGGTAAGAGTTTCGCTCGTTTGTCGCTTCTCTTTTTTTCTTCTTTCTTTTAGTATGAGGACCGTTGGAGGCCGGCGGAAACTGTGGATGCGGCAACTTTTGGGGCTTCGCTGCTGGCAGCCTGCGGAACGCCGCCATGGCTTCCCTGCCTCTCGTCTTCTCGCAGCGCGAGGCCGCGGGGCTGACTGGATAGTCCTCTACGCTGGAAGCACAAAAGAAGGAAGTACGAAGAATGCAATGTACGTGTAATAGGTACAAGACACGAGTCCTGCAGCCGCACACCTGGCGAGGAACGACCGCTTGGACCAGCACCTCTTATACTCGTTTTCACCACAAAAATCGTCTAACGAAAAAAAAAAAAAAAAAAAAAGGAGTCCGGCTTTTTTTCGGAACGTTGCTAATTCGCTCCTTCGTGCGTTGAATTAAGGTATATATGTTTGATTAGCTTAGCTTTATGCCATTTTTTTAGACGTACACATCTCAAACGCCAAAAGCATCGTTTCTTCCTTCAACAATCAAATATTGTAGGAACTTCTTCGCGTAGCGCATGAATAATGCGCAAAAAGTCACTTTTTTGTTTTAGGTGTGACAACAAGTATCGCTAGTGTTACCTGCACCGATGTACGACGTCTCTTTGTCGGGATCGATACGTTCGCGAGTGCAATAATAAACAGCGCATATTTTTTACGATGCGGTGTCTGTGTCCTTGTGAATGTCATCGCGCATGGTCTGTTTGGGGCTGTAGTTAGTGGCAGTATAACAACGCAGCTTAGATCACATGGTCTCGAATCTTTTCTTCATGCTCGAGGAAAGTTTTTCCTAGGGACAAATATACCTTTCCAGAAACTTTGTGCCACGAGCGTATGCTTTACGTACTGTGACCTTCAGAACTACGGCACCGTGGGCACGTGAAGTTATCCAAGAAACAAAGATGAAGTTGAAGTCGGTTTAACAGTTCGTGATTTCAGAACGCAGAGAGGGCAGATTGAAAGCAGAACAGTATGTTTTAGATCTTCTTTTCCGTTCCCTTTACTCTTTTGTGCAGATTAGGGCCCCTGAGCTCTTAAGAAAGAATTAATCGTTTTCGAGCCGGCACGAGCGTACATCCGAGGAGCTCCACAATTCCCTTCGCTGCAAGGTCTCCTGCGATTTTGCGGAAAGGTCTTTTGAAGCACCGGTGGCGCGCTGCGAACGTTAGGAGCCAACCGATTGGATCGCTCGGAGAAACTAAACGAACGGACGTAAGCCCGTCGAAAGGATGGACGATTGGAGATGCCATCTACACTTGTGACCTAAGGGTAATATAATTTGAGATAATTGGAATTCCATATAAAAAAAAAAACGCTAAATCTACAAAAAGAAAATACTTTTTTTTTCAGACGTTTTTATATTGTAGTTTTTTTAATAATATTTTATTACTCCTACATGGATGGGAGCCGCTCGTGGGGACTTAAATTGGGCTTAAAACTTCCGAAGTTTTAAGTTAGAATTTTATCTTAATAGACGTTTGCAAGCACGGCATCTACCTGCCGCCAAGCCTTTGCTCGTGCGTGCATATACGTGCAATTGCAAGCTTCCCAGAGCTACGTTCAGGCCGTGGTGGTTCAGGCGCATGCTGCACAGGCTTACACGCATGGGGCATCAGGGAGGCGCCATGCTTCGGTATAAAAACGGCAGGGGGGTCTTCCGGTTGTTCCGCTCTTAGCGCGAGCTTCCAGCCTCCAATAACACGCCGGCATCTCGCGAGCTTTGAGGGTGCACGCGCATTCAAAGCATGGCCGAAGGTAACGAGTGCGCGTCCGAGAAGCTGGGCATGCGATAGAGGCACCCAGGAATCTGTTTGCAGACTGTCTTTTGTATGATGTACAAATAGTGAGACCCTTGCTCACAATCACCGATATGAGGACGGAGAATGGCTGGGTCACCCAGCCATTCTCCGTCCCCAGCCATTCTCCGTCCTGATATCGGTGATTGTGAGCAAGGGTCCCACTATTTGTACATCATACAAAAGACAGTCTGCAAACAGATTCGATCGCAAGTCACCGCCATATCCGTGCTTCGAATGCCGCGTGGCAATGAGTTCGAGGAAAAAACTTGGCACGCGGCATTCGTACCACAGATATTGCTGCGACTGGTGTTTGCAGACTGTCTTTTGTATGGTGTATGAGCAGTGTGACTCTGGCTTTAGGGTTTCATTAAAAAAAAAAATGTTAAGAAAATGAGAGGAGCGCTAAAGTTTAACACGAAATGTCCCCGCCATATCTGGCCAAAACGCCGAATTCGCACAGAGTTATTCCCCAATTTAATTTCCCCTCAAAATATAGAGGCTGTGGTAATTTGGGGGGCTGTGATATGAAACTAATCCGGTGGACGCAATAATCCCTTTCCGAAATTGAGTGCCAACTGGTGACTCAAATGGCAGTTTAACTTTTACCGTACTAATGGCGGCGATGAACCTGAGATCTCCAGTATTTTATGGGACAATGTTAGTTTCGCAAGTCAACGGTAAACGAAAATGTGCGCTTCGCTGTTCAGTTTTTTTGTTTTTTGTTTTCAATCTCTTTTAGTTTCGATGGCGAAAAAGATGCGACCAGTCACAACGAAGGGCCAACCCACATAGACGCCTTGATAAAGTTCTATACATCAGAGGGCTTGGAAGCCGAGTGTGTGCTCTAACAGATTGACTGGGACCGAGTTAGAAATGAACGCTTACGCAGCTCTCGGATCGAATTCCTGCTTCTCGTCGCGCTAACCTCTAAAACGCATAGGCCTCGAATCATCTGCTTAAGACCATCTTCAACTTCTTCTTTCATCACTAAACAGGTGGCCGCCATTAGTATAGCACACTATAGCACATATGCCATTTCTCAGATGATGATAGTAATCAAAGTGGCCAGACTGAATTCCGGAAAGGGTCTATTGATAGCGAGGCGAGCCAACAAACGTTTTGCCAAATTACGCAATCATCAAGGGGAATGCTGGGAAAGTAGGTACACGCGCTGCACACGCTCGCCTTATCCTTATGACACGGTCCGCAGATACAGTATGAGACATGTTTCTTCCTTACATGATGACCATTTCACATTGTTCATACAGAAGTGACCTCCTAACATGTTCGAAGCGCGAAGCATGTACGAAGGAAACATGATTCGAAGATACTGGATGTGCGTGTCCGCAAATAATTCTTTCGTCACGTCCGCAGACCGTGTCTGTTGTACGATGTACGACCATTGGCACTGACGGCCTTGGGCGGCCGGAGGTGTCCGCCATTAAATTGCAAACGCTCTCAATTTCTCCGAGTTGGTCCCTCTCTTACATCAAGGGACTCTAAAACCCCTCACCTGCGCAGCGCGACCGAAAATTGCGGTTGGTGCAGTTCAACAGGCAGAGTTGAATGGGCGTACGCCAGGCGGCGACACAATTCCACGGACTTCGCCGCTTTCCCTTCCTCTGCTTTCCCACGCGAACTACCTGCCTCGATGGCTGTGCGGCCGACAGGTGCGACTAGTACGTACAACAACTCGAGGGAGAGCCGTCTCCATCGTCATCATCATCATCATCAAGCGCTTGCCGGCGCGCGGTGTGGCGGCGGCGCGGCCGATCAAACGGTGCGGACTTTGGACACTGCTTTTCCGCCGGCACGCCGGGCACCGCGCTGCCGCAGCCGCTGTCGAGGCGACGATAGGCATGATAGCGCGACTGTTTCTCGCGCCGTGTGGCTGCTCGGAACCGTTCATCGCTGGATAGGCGCCGCATGCACGGGATACGTCGTCGATCTGGTCTCTGGGGAAAGTGCCGGTGGATTTGGCGACTCACTCGAGTCTCGAACCTGCGCTGATCGTGTGAGACCTATACCAACTTGGTGAGTTGGACTCGACGTTTGATTGTGTTCTTTTTTATTATTATTATTGGTGACAGAAAACTACGAGAACATAGAGATAAGCCAAGGAGTACCCTCGACGGGCTACTCTGCTGCGGAATGGGGGAAATATATAAAAGATTGTCAGCGAAGGAAGAGGAGAGGGAAGCAGGACGGAGGCTTCGGCGCAAACTTCCACATTCATTGCAACATGCGACGTCTCATACACACTTTAGACAGTGTATGCAGTCTGTTTTGTATGATATGTACTGGCAGTGCGACCGCGGCTTCAGTGCACAGTGACAGCCAGGGAGAATTCGTGGTTACAAAAGTGTCACACTCGCAGTCATGTCACATTCATGATCACAACAAGGCACAGTCGCGGACATATTCACGGTCACAAATAGTCACGAGGCACTTCCAGTCTCCTTTCTACCTCGGTGTTAATCGAGGCGTTCCTGCCCTAAATTAATCGAGGTAAACCTTAATTCTGGAACAATCATTGTCAGCTTAAGCTACTCCAAACATTTCTCCAAGTTCGAGTTTGACACTTTGCGCGAACTAGCTTTATTTTGATCAGTTTTGTAACGAGAAAATATTCCTTTTCAATCGTATCCTCGCAGCCTTCGGAGCAAGCTCGTCATAAACGGCGGGACGCACCCTCCAGTCCACTGCTATCAGTAGGCGCTCACACGGCGTTTGCTCCACTCCGAAAGGAGGATAAAAAAAAAGAAAAAAAAGGACCACTGCGTGCGATATCGTTATTTCGCCTCGTTCTCGCGACTCTGAGCATCTTCAGTGTGGGGCTATCCTCCTCGTATTTAGGGCCGAACCTTAACCACGTCCCTGCGTGATGACTCCACCACGCACGGTTTCGGCGCTCCGCATCGGGTGTTGCAGACCGTCGTGATATGACTATGATTGGAAAGGAAGCGGCGGTCACACTGCTCAAACATCATACAAAACATTGCCTCCAAACACGAGTCACCGCAACATCCGTGGTTCCAGTGCCGGCTGTCAAGTTTCTCTTTGAACTCAATGCCACGCGGCATTCGAAGCACGGGTCTCGCGGGGACCCGTATTCGAATCCGCATGCTGACTCTCTTTTGTATGGATGAATAAGCAGTGTGACTCCGGCTTAGGAGATGTAGCGGAACGCTGTCCACAATTTGTGAGGTTGCCAGTCGGTTCCATTTCAAGCTGTCGAGAGCCATGAGGATCACATCGTTTGGAATTCACTGTCCTCTTGTTTCTTTCCTGAGGCTGTGCCACCTTATGGGCCAATACAGTCACTGTGATTGAGCAGGAAGCGCAGAGACTCTAGTTCGGATGCCTTCGGCATGCGTCCGGTGCCTTCCGTTGTGCTTCTTGCCCTTCGTACCCCGTCGATCACTAACTATTCCGTCCAGTCCGACCTAAAGCCGCGACACACTGATAATACGCCGTACAAAAGTCAGTATGCAGACACCGTCTGAAACGTGTTTCTTCCTGTCACATCACATTGATCACACAGAAACTGTGTGTAGATATTTTCAAAACATGTACAGTATGCACGAAGCACACATTTTTCGAACATACTTGAGGGGTGTCCGCAGCGACGCCGTGCCTATTGCATATGACGTATGGGCAGTGCGACTTCGATTTTGGCTGTCGTGGTCGTTCTCGTCAGCCGCCAGCGACCTCTTCGATAGGATCGTCTGACCGACGTGCGAGCGCGTGCGGCGGCGCCCCAGCTGCGTCCGTCCTGCGCTTGGCCACGCGGACTGCCGCGCGTGTCTCGTCCGTGGCTGTGTCGGAGACACGCCGTTTGTGAAGCCGCGGGACAAACGTGGTTTTTTTTCCGCCGATTCTCGTAACCCGGAAAACAATGAGACGGGGTGGGGTCCGAGATGCCGTTGTGCTTCGGGTGTAGTACGAACGTGTGTGAAAGATGGTGCCGCGCTCAGGAGTGTGTAGAGCGTTCGCGCTGAACCCTCTCATGCATCGCGTCCACATGTGAGGACATGTGTTTTGTACATTAGAGCAAAACAATATCGTACCATTCTTTCTGGCGTGATGTCCTGAAGTGTGGAAAGACACAGCTTTTCGATGAGGCCGATAGATGGCAGGACTTGCCGGTTGTCACTCAGATGGTATACACGTTTGCAAGTCCGGTCTCAGGGCGCCGCCATCTTCCTCAGTGGGGTGCGCTCTCGGGAGCGGCCATAATCCGATTACGACGCCTTAGCAAGGCTTCGTAATCGGATTATGACTGATCCAAGCGCACCCCAGACAGGCAAGATGGCAGCGCCCTGAAGCCGGACTTGCAAACGTGTATACTACTTCATCTCCTCCACTCGTAGCAACGCCCCCCCCCCCCCCCCCCCCCCCCCCCCCCGAAGCAGCACTTCGTAAAAGTAAACAACCTTTTTACTGACAAAATTTTGCCCAAACGTTTAATAGAAATCAAAATTCAGAAATTATTTCTCTCCATTCGTTTCGTTGACGCTCACTATATATGTCCTCAAATGGGGACACCAGGAAACAGCACGGCTCTCTTTGGCTTAACGCGCTTTTGACTTTTGCCCGCAAAACCCGTTGACTTCGCACCCTTGCGAGTTTTATGTCGCTCTGCATTATCTTCGGCGAAATGAAACAGTCTAGACAGAAGTTTTTACTTACAAGGGACGAAATTAACGCAATCTTAGACATAGCTGTTCTGACTCTGAAGACGGCCTTGATGTCAGCAGTGAAAAATAATGGCAGGTTGCAGATGATGTCGTCTGTGATGGAGGTGAGACGGGCGACGCACCTGTGGGCGTTGCGATGTCCCACATTGTCCCGAGTGCTTAAAGGGTTTCATGTATTGTGAGATGTTCACACTCAATTGCCAGTGCCGCAGGTTTTTTTTTTATTGTAATACAGAAATAAAACAATAAACAGTGTTAACGTGTTCTAGCCCGAGCACACTAAAACATTTTGATTACAAAAATCTACTGCATAACATACACAAAATTAGACTACCTGACCACTGGGATGAATGTTGTCCTCACATGAGGACACGTCCGTTCTGCTTAAGCAAATTATATTTTTAAGTTAAAAATAACGTATGGTTTAGGTGAACGTCCCAACATAAGTATACGTTTATTTTTTTATGGTCATTATAAGTCCGGTATGAGAGGGTGAATTACAGATGACTGAATCCGAAATGTTTTTGTAAAGTTTGGTTCATCCTGCAGTGGCGTCAGAACAGAAAATAAAAGGGGTGGGGAGGGGGGGGGGGGGTGGGGGGTCCACCCGCCTTCTCCCTGACGTAAAAGAAAAGTAAACAAAACATGGGAAGGGAGAAAAATTTAGTGTTTTTTTTTTAGTCGAAAACTATATCACGCATCGCCGAACGGCCGAGACGTAGCTTCAGTGGCCCGAAACAGGTGCCATAGTTTCAGAACGAGCCGTTATAAAAGTTATATAAGCAATTTTCTTAAATTTCTCAGTGGGCAATGGTGGCCGACTGAGCCCGCGAATACATGGAGACGAATAGCGTTAACTTACGTGGAACGGGCCACTTTGTTCCATTGAAAGTTTCACAAAATCGCTTGTAACTTTTTCAGTAAGATAACGGTCGGTTCTGAAACTTCCGAATCTGGTCCGGACCGCGAACGCTATACATTTGGAAGAAGACTGAGCATTCGTCTATGCGTTATTTAATTTTGATGTAAAAAAAATACCACCGGATTTTTTTGGAGAAACGCTGTACACGCGGAGCAACCCAACATTAATACCTGTAAACCAGCTTGTCGTGTATGTAAACAAACTGCATACCTCCGTTCGTAACCTCGACCGGTTGTCCCTGTGCTGCTACATCTCCGTCGGGCGAGGTGCAAATCGGGTTGCCATCGTCCCATCTGCGGCAACCACAAGGAAGAAACGACGACTCTCAACATTAACGAAAGGGCAAGAAGCTAAAGAAAGAAAGTACAGAAAAAAGTGGAGAGAAAGAAAGGGAAGGATACAGTTTTTTTTTTTTTTTTTTTTTTTTTTAAATTGTCGGTTGCACAATTTATCAGGCCCGAGTTGACATCCTCTTGTCCACTCGACTTGACCTCCTGCTGCGGACTCTTTCGACAGACGCCCCCACCTCCCCACGGCACACACGACATAGAAACGAAGCCGTCATTCTCTTACAAGCCGGGGGCGCACTGCTCAAACATTGTACAGAAGACAGTTTGTAAGCACGAGTCACCGCCACATCCGAGGTTCAAATGCAGCGTGCCAATTTTTCTCCTTGAACTCATTGCCATCGGGCATTCGAAGAACGAATCACGTGCTCGGGTCTGTATTGAGACTGTCTTTTGTATGGCTGTATAAGCAGCGTGACAGATACTCCAAAAAGTATTCGGGAATAGGAATACTAAGGTACATGAGTTTTAAGGACCAAAATACAGATACTGAGATACATTTGTCTTTTATGCAGCGAGATATCCCTGAGATATTTCTCGAAAGCTGGCGAAAAAGTATTTCGGGGACAGATACAGATACTTATAGAAATGCATTTGTTCCCGAACGGTGCTATAGGTGGGGAGGGTGTAGTGCGTAGCGAATATGAATGGTAATGGGAACGCTCGTGCTCCTTTTTTTGTGCTATTTTATGCTGTGCCCCTGACCTCGAACTCTTTATTTATCACTAATGCCGCTAAAGGAAACATGTCACCTCCGTTGAACTCATCGTTACAGAACGGTAAAGACTGCGTACCATGCTTGACAAAAGGCGTCTGCCCGAAATGAACCCTGTTTGGCCGTGAGGGCGCATCTCAAACTGTCGTATTATAAGTTTCTGAGCCACCCATAGCGTAGGGAGATTGAACAAGAGGACCGCACTTTTCTTCACTCAACTCTTTCATAGCGTTCTAAAGAGTGGGGGGCTTTGTGAGAGGAGCTGATTTGGTTATTGTTGCCCGTAAACTTTTTTAAACCACAGCTTTTTTTAATGTTGGTGACTGAGATAGATCATGCTATAGGGTGGG